CACAAAAAGAAAAAAACAAACAAACAAACACATAAATTGGCCTTCATCCAAAGGAATCTTTTGGGCTCCAAAAGACAGTAAAGAGTGTAAAAATATAATCCACCAAGCAGGAAAGAAATTTAGCAAATCAAACATCTTTGATAAAGGACTTTTATCTAGAACACATTAAAAATACTTGCAACGAAATAAGAAAGACATATGTCATCCAATCCATCGGACAAATGGGCACAGGTTCTGAATACACCTTTGTCCAAAGAAGACTCTCTCTGAATGGTCGGTAAGCATGTGAAAGGGTGTTCAGCATCTGGAGTCTTCAGGGGAATGCAAGTCAAAACCACGGGGAGATGCCACTTCACACCCACTAGAACAGCTAGAATAAAAAACAGAGATAATAACAAAGGTTGGGAAGGAGGGGAGAGCTAGAACCGTCACAGACTCCTGCTGGGAATATAAACTGGTCCAGCGACTTCAGAAAACAGTCTGACAGCTTCTCAAAAAGTTAAACATACCATACCACCCAGCAATTCCACTCCTAGCTGTTCATCTCAGAGAAATGAAAACATATGTTCATGCAAAAACGTGCACACAGATGTACACAGTGGTATTGTTCCTGATGGCCAAAAAAGTAGTTCCTGATGACCCAAATGCTCCTCATTTGACCACAGATAAAGAAAATGTGATATGTCGACAGCAGTGAAGCATTATTTGGATAGAAAAAGAAATGAAGTCCTGATACATGTTACAACATGGTGAAAGAAGTCAGACACAAAAAGATACATATTGTATCATTCCATTGAAGGGAGATGTTCAGAGCAAATCTAGAAAGACAGAAAGCAGATGAGTGGCTGCAGAGCACTGGGGTGATTGGGGAAATGGGGAGTGATTGCTCATGAGTCCAGTTTCTTTTCAGAATGATAAACGCGTTCTAAAATTGGCTATGGTCATGGTTGCACAACTCCGCGAATGTCCTAAAAACCGTGGAATTATACACCCCATGTGAGTAAACTGGATGATATGTGAATTATATCTCAGTAAAACTGTTATCAAAAAGTAAAAGCCAGGCACAGGTGCACACCTGTAATCCCAGGGGCTTGGGAGGCTGAGGCAGGAGGGTCACAAGTTCCAAGCCAGCCTCAGCAACTTAGCAAGGCCCTAAGAAAGTTAGGGAGACCCTGTCTCGAAATAAAAAAATTAAAAGGGCTGGGGACATGGCTCAGTGCTAAAACTCCTCTGAGTTCAATCCCTGGTACTGAAAAAAAAATTAATTTAAAAAAATGAAAGAGGGCTGGGCTGGGTGTAGTGGAATAGTGCTGACTCAGCCTGCTCAAGACCCTGGGTTTGATCCCCTGTACTATGAATAAAAGGAAAAATAAATAAATAGATAAATAAATAACAAATGAATAAGAGAAAAAAAATATCACCACCTCTGACCCCACCCCATGTGCACACAAAGCTGTTACTCCTGGCTTCTGGGTCTAAGGCCCTGGCTCTGCCTCCACAGGCTCTCCCATTCAAAGACCATCATACAGTCATCTGAAAATTATTTTTAAAGCAATTACATCTTTAAAGTCTATTTAAAAGGAGACCAAGAGTGCCTTCATTCCCAACCTGTAACAAAACACAGTATTTTCTTATGATAATTTTTCATCTGACTCACAGGCTTAGAAGCTGCCCCTCCAAATCTCTTTTCTCCCTTGTTCCAGAAGAATTCGATCCCACCCCCCAATGCCCTGGTGACTTGGGTCTTTCTCCCCTACAGACATCCTTCTCTCACACATTGACCCTCCTTCCTGATCAGACCTTTCTCTCTCTCCCTCTCTCTCCCAATTTTATATTTCATTTTTAATTGAAAAATTAAAATTGTTTACGTTCATTCTATAGAACACCATGTTCTGAAATATGAATACATTATGGAATGACTCCACAGAGTTAACTGACATGCGTTAATTCATGTATATGTTATTTGTGAGAACAAAAAAAAATCTACTCCCAGCGATTTTCAAATTATCGTTGTTATCCACTACAGTTACCGTGTCATTCAATAGATCTCCTGAGCTTTATTTCTCCTAACTGAATTTTAATTTTCTAGTACTGGGGATGAAACTTGGGGGTGATCTACCACTGAGCTCCATCCTCAGTCCTTTTTATTTTTTATTGTGTGCCAAAGTCTCACTAAATCGCTGAGGCTGGCCTCAGACTTGCGATCCTCCTGCATCAGCTTCCCGAGTTGCTGGGATTACAGGAAGGTACCACTGCACGCTTATAACTAAAATTTTATATCCTTTGACTAACCTCTCCCCAGTTCCCCACTCCAGCCATCCCTAGTCCCTGGAAATCCCTTATATCTCTCTGCTTTTATGAGGTCAACTTTTGCAATTCCACGCATAAGTGAGATTATTCTGTCTTTGTCTTCCTATGCCTGGCTTATCTCACCTATCATAATGTCCTCCAGGTTGTCACAAATGACAAAATTTCCTTCTTTTTTTAAGGTGGAACAGTACTCCATTGTATATGTACCACATTTCCTTTTATCCATTCCTTTGTCTAGGGACGCCTAGGTTGGCTCCATAGCTTGGCTATTGTGAATGGTTCAATGACATCTGTGCGTGTCTTTGACACATAGATTTCATTTCCTTTGGATATATAACCAGTAGTGAGATTGCTGGATCACATGCCTCCCCATTTTTAATTTTCAAGGAACCACCATACACATTCCCTCAGTGGCCATGATAGTTCCACTCCCACCCACAGTGTGCGCCCAGGTCCCCACTCTCCACCTGAACCCTCCCTTTCTCTCTTTCTCCTGAAACTAGTCTTCTGGGCGGCACCTGTGTGGTCCCTCGGCCCATTACACAGATTAGTTCTCCACCACAAAGGCGGGAACGAGACCAGCCAGAAAGCTTTCTCCTAGCTAATAAAGGCAGCCAGGGTCAGAATAAGGAGCAGCCATGAAGGCCCCCTGCGTCACACGCTGCTGGGTGACATTTGTTTTAAGTTTCCAATCTCGCCTGGTCATCCCGGCTCACAGCATGCTTTCCCGGGCCCCAGGTGGGCACAAGATGGCAGAGCTGGCACAAGGCCTTCCTTGGCTTTCCTATCCACCCTAGCTCAGGTGCCACCCAAGGAGTGCATAAGACATCTGCAAGCCTCAGGACTGGGGGTGGTGCAGGTGGGGTCAAGGGTCAGGGTAGGGTGCACCGACCAGCAGAGAGGTGTGTTTTCAATCCTCCACCTGGGTGCCCAAACCCTGGAAAGACAGAAGTTTCCATCCGAAGATTCGAGAAGGAATCTCAAGTGAGCAGGAAACGGTGGGGGAAGAAGACTGGCGGCTGTAACACCAGAAGGGATGAGACCTCTTCCCAACTTCAGATTGGGGAGAGAGTTTAGAGAGCCAGGGCAGGAAAGAGCAAGTGGGCCCCACGCAGCTCAGGGGAGGGTTCATGCCGAAACCACACAAAGGGCTGTCAGAGGGGGCTAGACTCCTTGAAGGAACACAAATGCCTCCCAAATGGGGTCTCTGTCTTTCATTAACTCATCACAACATCCCCCATGGCCGAGGGTCTGACGACTAACACCAACTGTAACCGTGGGGGGTGAGGTCCACTTGCTCCTTGGCCTTTCTGAAGGCATCTCCCATGGCCCAGGGGAGGCTAGGCCTGTGGGGGGGTATGGAGGGACCCTTCCTGGGGCAGATCCAGCCTCAGGACAGGACATCTCCTGGGGCCATCCAAAGCCTTCAATGATTTTCAGGGCTCAGTCCAGCTGGACGCTTGGAAGTGTCCCCAGTGGGGGTCCTCAGGGTTTCTCCTGACTCGGTGCAATGGCGCTGTGGAAAACACAGGCCAGATTTCCACCGCCCCCCGCCGCCCGACGGTAGCAGACAGAAGGGCGGACACATTTTCTTCTCACAGGAAAAGCCAAAGCGCCCGCCTCTGAGCTGAGACTTCCAATCCATCGACAAACCCTGTCAGCACCTCCTGTAAAATGGAACCCAAATCCATTCTCACCGCCCCCCCCCCAAAGCTATCAGCCCAGCCTGAGCCACCATCCCCTCCTGTCTGCCTGCCTCAATTTATAACCAGCTCCAATTCATTCTCCAAAAGGCAGCCAGAGGGAACCTTCCAGAGAGGGAAATGGATCACATGTCCTCCCAGCTCACAACCTTCCAATGGCTTTCCTTCATGCTTAGGGGTGGCGGGGAAAGGAAGAGTCCCTGGAAGGGTCCACAGGCTCCTGTATTATTGAACCTGCCACAAACTCTCAGGCCTCAAGTCCTTACCCTCTGCTGCCTGCACACCCAACTCAAGTTATATAGGCATCACTGCCTCAGGACCTTTGCACTTACTGTTTCACTGCCTGGAATAGTCTTTCCCCAGATTTCCCTCTCTTCATTAAGTTCTAGGCTCAAATGTCCCCTTGGCGGGGTCTTCTCTGACCACCCCATTTAAAGTAAGCCTCTCATACAACTTGTCTCACTCTCTACCCTGTCACCACCCCTTCATTTATCTTCAGAGTACTGATCACTCAGCTAACACACAAATGGAAGTGTGGGTTTGTAGGACTGCAAGCTCCACTGTGCAAGAAATTTGCCTGCTGAACACTCTCTTCCCAGTGTTTAGGACAATTCCTAGACCAGTACAGATCCTTAATCAATGTTTGTTGAATGAATGAATGAATGAACAAAAGAATTCTTGGTTGACCAAGGTACAACAATGAGATCTTGATTCCGTCCTGTTTTATATTTTTTCTTGGTTCTTTTTTACCTTTTATTTAAAATTTGTTCTAATTAGTTATACACAACAGCAGAAAATACCTTTGGATTCATTGTACACAATTGCAGCAGCATAACTTTTCATTTCTCTGGTTGTACACAATGTAGTGTTGCACCATATATTCAATCATACATGTACCTAGGGTAATGATGTCCATCTCATCCCACCATCTTTCCTGCCCCATGTCCCCTCCCCTCCCTCCCCTTTGCCAATTCAAAATTCCTCCATTCTTTCCATGCCCTCCCCCCATTATGGGTCAGCATCCATTTATCAGAGAGAACATTTGGCCTTTGTTTTTTTCCAGATTAGCTTACTTCACTTAGCATTATATTCTCCAGCTCCATCCATTTACCTGCAAATGCCATAATTTTATTCTCTTTTAAAGCTGAGTAATGTTCCATTGTGTACATGTACCACAGTTTCTTTATCCATCATCTGTTGAAGGGCATCTAGGTTGGCTCCACAGTTTAGCTATTGTGAATTGTGCTGCAGTAAACATTGATGTGGCTGTGTCCCTGTAGTATGCTGTTTTTAAGTCCTTTGGGTATAGACGGAGGAGTGGGATAGCTGGGTCAAATGGTGGCTCCATTCCAAGTTTTCTAAGGAATCACATGTAAAAGCATTGAAAGAAATGTCAAAGAAAGCTATTGACTCATCTTCATTCTTCTGTCTCATCAGTAAGAAAGGGTGGGAAATGTGACAGTTCACATTTCACAGGTAAGGAAGCTTCAAGGGGGGATGTTTGTTGAGAGGAAAAATGACTCACACTGGCTTGTCCAAGGTCAAAGATGTCAAGAACCAAACGACACCTGGAATCCAGGTTTCCAGATGCTCTATCCTATGTGCTTTCCATGGAGTTACCTCTGATTTCCACATTCTGTCCTGCTAGGCAATCTATTAATATTGTTAATCATACTAATGTACCAAAAATGAAAAAATATACAATCGTCGTGAGAGATGCTGATGGGCATCATCTGACAAATTCCATATCTATTTGAGGATTTTAAAATAGCCTCTTTTGGGTATGAAGACCAACCTAATCTTATACTCTCCATGAAGGCACCAAAAAAAAAAAGACATAAAAAGGATATTAAAATGCTAAACAGAAAATATAAATACTAATCTAAAAGCAACAGCCAGTAACAGAGTTATGAGGAAATTCCAGAGGAATTCCCATTACAGATAGGAATATGGCTATTTATTAGCATCCTTCTGGAACCATACATCATCAATAACCAATTTAAAAACATAATTAAATTTCACTCACAATAACAAGAAGAAATATCAACATCCTAGGAATAAACTTAGTGGAAGAAATACACAAAGCCTATGTGAAGAAGCCATTTGTCTGTGGGCAGAATCAGACTTAATTGTATATTATGTTCCTGGTTAGTATCAAGAACTGTGAAAGGTCTGAGATTTCTTACCCCAGCACCAGGAGCAAAGCAGATGCTTGAAATTCTTAATTCCATTTAATCCTCCTAATTAATAACTCTCTGCCAAGAGGTTATAAGTAGTATTATTCTCTTTTAATGGAAGAGGCACAGATTAGAACATTTGCTAAAATCTGCACAGCAAGAAAACTGATGATTCTGACCTCTGAGCCTGCCGTCTTCCCACCGGCTCACCCAACGTGACTTTCTATGTGTCCACTTGGCCAGGATGAGTTCAGTTCCCAGATTTCTATGTCTTCTAGGTTCTGGTTAGGATGGGCCATTAGTAGGTTCTGGGAGATTTGGTGGGTGGAAGGGAAAAAGCTGTGATCTTGTGACATCAAGATTCAGATATGGAGTTGACAGCGTAACAGAGACTGCTTAGCCTGCCCTGCATGGTTTAAACCAACCCCTACAAAGGCTCTCTTTAAAAATGTCTATATATCTGTGTAGGAATACATACACATGTGCTGTGTCTAGTGTATCTACGTGTGCATATATATTTAAATGTCTACATGTATGTCTATATCTGCAAGTGTATCTGTGTGTATGTGCACATCTATGTCTGCAGGCATGTCTGTTCCTGCAGGTTCTGTTGCGTATCTGTCTAGGTCTCCTTGTATGAGGTGACTGTGTACACTTCTCTGTTTACATCTATGCATACATATGCTTTCCCTACTCATTCTGCTTCTCTGGTTGAACCCTGCCTGACACAAGCACACTCCTTGCCAGAAGTCCTGCAGAGGACAGGTAGTCATGGAGAGGGAGTCTCTAGAGATGCCGGAGCTGGGACTCCAGTTGAAGGCTGGGGTGGTGGAAAGCAGTAGCAACTCAAGTCTACCACTCTGCCCCTCTAGGCTCCCAGATTAAAATAAACAAGAATTACTCAGTCTCTTCTAGATGCACAGCCCTGCAGACATGAGAGCTAAAGATGGTGGCCGGTGCTGGGTCACCACTCCACTGTGTTCTAATGTCTCCCATGCAGGGACAGGGTGGCCTCTGTCAGCACCTCTAGCTGCTGGGCAGAGAGACGGCCTAGCCAGCCCCACAATGACATGAAACCAATCTCTATAAAGATTCTCCCTAAAAAGTGGTATCCCTGTGTGTGAGTGTGACCAAGCATGTCTGAGTCTGGTGTGTCTGTGCCTGTGTCCAGCTATGCTTCTTTGGTAGCCCCGAGAGGATGCTTCTGGAAACCCAGAGAGGTGGCTCCAGGGTCCTGGCCCCTCTCACCTTCTGGAATGGAAATTCCTGCCTTGGGAGGCCACATACAGGCCATATCAAGGGGACATTGGAGCTGAATGAGTACCCAGGCAGCCCTAACCAGACCTCCAAATTCCCAGGGCAGACCCAAGTACCTCCAAAGCCTGCAATTCTGAATTACTACCCTCCAAAGACCCCATCTGAAGAGAAATAAAAAGGAGGGAGAGGAGGCAATGGAGGTAGTTACCTAGAATATGCTGGGCCAACTAGACAGGGTCAGGACCAGAGTTCTGCAATCACACAAGTTCCAGGTCAAATTTCAGGTCTGCTAGATACTAAGCCAAGGGGCCTTGGGCATGTTCCTGTGCCTCTCTGGTCCCTAAACTCTTCACCTTTAAAATGTGTATAATAATTGGTAACAGTGATGCACGCCTATAATCTCAGGTACTTGAGAGTTTGAAGCAGGAAGATCCCAAGTTCAAGGCCAGCCTCAGCAACTTAGTGAGACTGTGCCTCAAAATAAAACACGAAAAGGGGCTGGGGATGTAGCTCAGTGGTAAAGCAGTCCTGGTTCAATCTCCAGCATTGAAAAAGGAAAAAAAAAAGTGTCATAGCTGCATTACAACACATGGTTGTGGAGAGGGTTGACATTTTTAAATTCTTTTAAAAATAAGGTATAATGTTAGTTATTTTTGTTAAGATTAAAACTCTTCAGAATAATTTTGTCATTGCTCCTAGTGGTGAGTCAGTAGGTACTAAGAACGGAGGACAGAGTATATGACAGAGTTATATAGTAGTTATAAAGATAACTACCAGAACTAAAAGCAGACTGTAAACCTTTCAAATTATCTGACGGAACACGTGCACAAAATCAAGTCCATAAAACGGACTATATCATAAGTAACATATTTTTTTTTAAAGTTGAAAAACAGGGAACCAAATGAGAACACTAAAACCCATCATAATTCTTAGAGGAGAAGATTCTTGGATGTGCCTAATATATTTCAAGCTTAAGCAAATTTTTTTCTGTTCCATGCAAACTTGATCCAGTTGTGCAGCTATATACGGAGGGTCAGGCTGAACTTGGGGGTTCAGATGTGAATCACAGGTTTGTGCTGTGAGCTGAGCTGCATCTATCTCCCTACCTTCCCCCAAATCTCTATGCTGAACTCCTAACCCCAAGTACCTTAGAATATAACTACATTGAAGAAAGGGTCTTTGTAAAGGTAAGGAAGTAAAAAACAACGGGGTCCTGATATGACCTCTGTCTTCATAAAAAGTTAGTGCACAGACTCATACAGAGGGAAGATCAGACATGGAAAGAAACCCAAGGAGAGAGTCTCAGAAGAGCCCAGCCATGTCACCATCTTGAAATCAGACTTCTAGCCTCCAGAACCGTGAGAAAATAAATTCTGTCATTCACAAACTCCACCCCCACCTCCCATCTCTCATGCTCTGTTCTGGAAACCAGTTCTGGCAAATGCACAGAGTATGTCTTGCCAGGTGAGGAGAGCGCCACCGTGCTGAGCTGGTGAGGGTGCAGGAAAAAATGCACAGGGAGGGGTCCTAGGTAGGCCCACCCATGTCCCTCTCTAGCCCAGAACTTCCTGTTGGCAGGAAGGACTGAGAAGGGTAGGGCCCTGCAGGCAGTGGGTTCCACACTCTAGCAGTGTGGAGAAAGGGGTTTGGGGGCTCAGAGTGGTGGGACAACAGAGGGACTCTGGTGAGATGTGATCACAGAAGACTCGTGGCTCCAAGGATTCCAGGGGACAGCGGAGACTGCTGACTGGTTCCACTTCGGTCCAAAGCTGAGGACCTCTGTAGCAGGGTCCATCTCTACCCCTCGTACTTCCTATAACACAGCTGGAAGTGCGCTCTGACCATGGCTCACTCCTGAAGCACAGGTGTCCTATGTGCAATGTCAGGTCAGAGATGTCACCTTAAAGTGAAAGAGAATGATTCTGATTGGGGCGCACCCCAGATGCACGTCCGGGACCTTGGATTCTGCACAGAGCTGTGAGATCAATCTCTTCAGAGCCCCAAGTGAGTGGTCCATCTCTTCAGATCCCCAGTATCCTGTATAACAAGATCTGGCAAATTACTATAGGTTGAGTGTCCTTCATCCACAATTCTTGGGACCAGAAGTGGTATATTTCATATTATTTCACACAGTTTAAAAAAAAACAAACTTTGGGGATAGGACCCAAGTCCCAACATGAAACTCATTTACGTTTCACATATGCCCTACATCCACTGCCTAAAGATAATTTTATACAATATTTCAAACATTTTTGGCATGAAACTTTATGGTGTGGAATTTTCCACTTTTGGCATCATGTCAATCCTCGAAACATTTTGAATTTTGGAACACTTTGGATTTCAGGCTTTTTGATTAGACATACTCAACCTTTTTTTTTTTTTTTTTTTTTTTTTGGTACCAAGGATTGAACTCAGCGGCACTCAACCACTGAGCCACATCCCTAGCCCTATTTTGTATTTTATTTAGAGGCAAGGTCTCACTGAGTTGCCTAGTGCCTCATAGTTGCTAAGGTTGGCTTTGAACTTGCGATTCTCCGGTCTCAGCCTCCCATGCTGGGCATGTTCAATCTTTTAATCTTTTTCTTATAGTTCATGAGAATTGGGTGGCAGATATGCCACTGGCCATATCCACGACTTCTGCCTGCCTCTGAACAGAATCTTCTAGAAACCAAATCTATAATTAAACACGAGCAGGGTGATTGGATGAGAAAAGAAAGTACAGCCCATGACAGAAACTACTTAGTTCCAAAGACCCTGGATATTTTCCAAAGATACACAGACAGTTCCCCTAAAGGGAATTCTCAACTTGGCTGGACTATTCCATCAAGATGGTATCAGAAGGGCTGGTGGCTCCAGGCAGAGACCAACAGAAAATCCACAGTCCCCTATTTGCAGAGAGCCTGGCTCAGATCAAGGCTGCAAATGCTCTGGGGTCTAGGGATGACTGCCAGGGGCCTAAGACAGGTACTGGGAAAGAACAGAGCCAGAGGTAAATGCTCCAATGCACATCCAAGGGAGGAGAGCAAACTGGCTCTGTATATCAAGATGCATTGGGGAGGCGGAGGCTGTGGCTCAGTGGTAAAGCACTTGCCTCGCATATGTGAGGCACTGGGTTTGATCCTCTGCACCACATTAAAAAAAAATTCTGTCCATCTACAACTACAAAAAAAAAATTTTTTTTTTAAATAAACGTATTGCATCCATCTACAACTAAAACATTGAGGATAAACAGCACCCAGGGCCCCTAGGACTACGTTCTGAGTTCTCACCAGTGCAGAAGGCCAGTCTGTGCACTGACCTTGGCATGGGGAGCAGGAATACTGCTATCAGGCTCATCACTCCTGCCAGGAATACCACCCTGCCCACTGCTGAACAGTGTGTCTGGACCAGGAGCGGGCAATAGGCTTTAGTGGTCAGGATGGGCAATCAAAAAGCCAATACCTTGCCAGGGAATGGCAGGGGATGATGTACTAGTGACTTCTAAGACCCCCAGAATCAGAGATGCCCTCTGGCTCCCAAAGGGTTAACCCTGGAGCTCAGAGTCCCCAGGATCCTACAGGGAGCAATTCAGAGTGTGAGACCGCAGCCCTCTGAGCCAGCAGGACCTTGTCAAAGATCAGTGCCCACCCGGAGTGACCTCAGAAAAATGACCCAGCATTTAAAGGATAAATTCAGAAACAGCATCTTCATACACAAAAGGACAAAGGAAGCATCTGGTGCCCCTCAAACTCAGGAGGACCCACTCATTAAATCTGCCTACCTAGACCCCCTACAAAACTCCAAGGCACCCTACAGTTCCCAGGAACTGAGGTGGGTAAATCCAGAACACAGGACATCTGTGATCAAAACCAGGATTCAGTTGAAAGTATGACAGGTTGTGAGGGGTGTGGCTCAGGGCAGAGCACGTGCTGAGCACACGCAAGGCCCTGGTTTCAATCCATAGCATCACACACAGATGAAAGTATGCATAAGAAATGAACTGTTTTCACCCTTCGTAGCCCAACATGCCTACCAAATCCACCTCCCAAGAGCAACCCTAGACAAGATACCCTGAGGGGAGTCCTGGGGAACAGGTCCTGGCATGTCTTTCAAAGAATGATTGAGATACCGATTTCCAGGATGATTCAAATATGAATTTTCAGCCAGGTGTGGTGGTACAACCTGTAATCCCAGTGGCTCGGGAGGCTGAGGCAGGAGGATTTGAATTCAAAGTCAGCCTCAGTAATGCAGTGAGGCAATCAGTAACTCAGAGAGACCCGATCTCTAAATAAAATATAAAAAAGGGCTGGGGATGTGGCTCAGTGGTTAAATGTCCCTGGGTTCAATCCTGAATACCAAAAAAAAAAAAAAAAAAAAAATAGAAATATTGATTTTCATGTTTGTCTTCCTTCTTTTTCTTTCTTTCTTTCTTTCCTTCTTTCTTTCTATTATTTACTGGGGATTAAACCAAGTGGTGCTTTACCACTAAACTATAATCCCAGCCCTTATTTTTTATTTTCAGATAAGGCCTCGCTAAGTTGTTGAGGCTGACCTCAAACTTGGGGTCCTCTCTCCTCAGCCTCCCAAGTCACTAGCATTACAGACCTGTAGCCCTGTGCTCAGCTCTCCTGTCTTTCTTAAAGGCAAAAATTCTCTCAAAAAGACAGGCAGTGAATTCTCTTAAATCTCTCCACTTCAAGTGTGGACCACAGACCCGCATCCCCTGGGAGTTTGTTGGAAATGAAGATTCTTAGGCCCAACTCCAGACCCACTGACTCAGACCCTCTGCAGGGGAGGCCCAGCAATGTGCACTCAAAACACCCTCCAACAAAATGATGCTCCCTCAGCTTTGAAGGACCTCGCTGGGAATGGACCACCTCAGTATGAGATGGGCTAAGACTTCTCCAAGGGTTAATAGCTGAAAGGGCTCTTGTTTTCCTGTAGTTAGACAATAAAAATTCCTTCCTTTAGGACCTTCTGTTTCAGAAATTGTGCTCCTTCGGGTCTACTACAGTGGGGCTTACCTATTAAGTCAAGTTTTATGGTAAGCAAGAAGGAAGCCAAAGTCTTCAAATGCTTAGCTACCCTGCTGTTTTTTAATGTGTTCACAACAAAATATCCATATCCATACCAACCCAATTAGCTTTAAAACATGACTTTGCTCATCATATTGGCCCTCTGCACCAGGCTTATAGTTCATGCATCCACAGACAGGTGTCAACACACTCCCAAGCAGGGCCCCAGCAGTGGGGTTAGGGTTAGGAAGGAGGTGGAGGGTGGCCCATGTGTGTCCATGTGGTTTAATCACATCCCAGCGGAGTATAAATACACCACTGTTTCAGTGAAACTTGCAGAAGCCCTCAGACAACCTCAATTAAGCTGATTTCTAAAACACTCAGACAAAAAAAGGGAAAACATACCCCAAAGTTTCTGTAAATGATTTTCGATCCCACAGCTGAGCCCATCCACCAGTTTGGAATTTATTTGCTATTTAAGGGAATAGGAACATCCCAATATTTCCTCTTAGAATTCCAAAGAAAGACTTCTCTATCAGCCAGGGGAGGCGGGGCGGGGAGGGGAGGTGCTAAGAAACCTCACAGGCATAAACATAGAAAAGGAACTTGTAAAAATACACTGGATAGCTGAGTTTGCACACGTGTGTTGCAAACAGCCACTCCCTGTCATGTCCAAGATCCAAGCATGATGTTTACTGAGGGTTCCCAGAGTCAAGTTCAATCTCTCTTACTAATGTGATTCTTAAAAGAAAAGAAAATCAGCATAACTTTATCTAGATTTTAAAATGACCGTGAACACCGAAAAATGCTCATCATCAAAGGAGTTCAGAAGGGTGTGGTGGTGTGTTGTCCCAGCTCCTCAGGAGGCTGAGGCAGAAAGATGGCTTGAGTCTGAGAGTTTGAGACCATTCTGAGCAACTTAGTGGAACACCCCCAAACTCCCCCTGCAAAAAAAGAGTACAGAACTCCAAGTTTAGAAGGTCTAAATGCTGAGATTCTCCTTCACTCTCCACCACTTTTAATCTAGCAACAAATCACAAAGTCTGAGTCTCCAATGTACTCAGATGAGATGAGGATAACTGCTCATGAGGATTGATCACATATCACATGTAAGACCACTGAAAAAGTCATAAAGCACATTCAAACTTTATTACTGACTACTACAGACTTTTTTTTTTTTTTTAATGAAGAGCTTGGGAAAGAAGGAGTTGAAATCACCCAGGTTTTGTATTTTTAACTTCTTGGTTGTGTTTTGGGGTGGGAGGTTATTTTTGTGGGGTGAGGGGATGTTTGTTGGTTTTGGCTGACTTAGACCCCTCACCTACATTCCTCAGAAAACCTGTTACTGCTCGTAAGGAATCCTCTTACATCCCTCAGGTATACTGGAAGATGAAAACGGTTGGGAAAATATGTCAGTCAGCTTTTTGTTGCTGTGACAAAATACCTGAGATAATCAACTTATACGGAGGAAAGGTTTATTTTAGCTCATGGTTTCTACAGGTTTTAATCCACAGTCGTTGTGCAGGACAGGAGCACTTGAGAGAGCAAAGCTGATTACCTTATGGTAACCAGGAAACAAAGAGAGACAGACAGGAGTCCCAATAGTGCCTTCAACTTCAATGAGCTAAATTCTTTCCTGTAGGTCCCAGCTCTTCAAAGTTCCACGACCTTCCAATAGCAACAAAGGTTGGTGATCAAGCCTTTAGCATACAGGTCTTTGAGGGACATAAAGATCCAAATCAGAACAGAAACCCTGGTCTATTTGAACCAACAAGCCATCTTCTTGTTCTAGAAAGTTGTAGCATGTCCTATTAGATGTTAAACAGAAGATCTATTGTCAAGAGTATAACAGCCCATCTCACAAAATTTGAGGATATTGTGACCAAAGAACATAAAAACCCGGTTAACTTTTCGCAACAATACATAAATTTCATTAGCAGTTGAAGAAGCAGGAACCATTTGGCGGTTCCTCAAAAAGCTAAACAGAGTTACCACATAACCCAGCAATTCCACTCCTACGCCTAATACCGAAAAGAACTAAAAGCACATGTCCACACAAAAACTTGCACACTGGTTTTTATAGAAGCATTATTCGTAAGAGTCAGAAGTATAAACAATCCAATGTCCACCAACTGATGGATAAATGAAATACATCCATACAACGGAATATTATATAACCATAAAAAGGAATGGAGTACTTATTCTTGCTACAACATGGATGACCCTTGAGAGCATTATGCTAAATTCAAGAATTCAAACACAAAAAAACCACATACGGTATGGTTCCATTTATATGAAATGCCTAGAACAGGCAAATCCACAGAGTCAGAAATAGAGAGGATTAGGGGAAGGGTGAATGGGGAGTGACTGCTAATGGAAAATGGGTTTCTTTTGGAGGAAATGGAAATGTTCCAATGTTAGTGAACACGCTAGACCATCATTATCCTATAAACCACTGAGGTGCATATGTTAAAAGGGTGAATTTTTGCTGAGTGCAGAGGTGCCTACCGACAATCCCATCTATTCAGGAGGCTGAGGCAGGAGGATCTCAAGTTTGAGGCTAACCCGGAATGCAGGTTACTCTGCTTCTCCCCGCAACTTTAGCCTAGTCTTGGTGACAGCCACCACTGCCCAGCACACGATTACACAGACAGGGCCCCTAAGAGGAGAAGGGAAAGCCTGCTGTTCACAAACCAGCAGCAAACCCAAAGTCCTCTGCTTACAAAAGGCTGGGGAAGAGGCTGCAGCCCGGGAAAGCAAGACCTGCGAACCCTGCAGCGAACAAGGGACATGATGTTTTTTCAGAGATCCATTTCTGTCAATGGTCCCGAAAACATTTTCTCTGCCCTACCACCTCGCCTTTCCGTCTGAAAGTAAATCCGATGGAACATGGGGGAACTCGGGGTCACACTTCCTCTGGCAGCTGTGGGTCAAGTCTCTATAAAAATCTGCTAATGACTCTGAGCTCTCCAGCAGGCTGCCATTCATGGGAGAAGAAGTGATACAACTGGAGATGATGAGAAGATAAGGCTTCAAGCCGCGTGCTCAGAAAGTTCACTGCGCTAGCCAGTTTGGGGTCAAGTTTTCCTCAGGAGCATTTCCTTGCTCCTGACATTGGGAAGTGCTGGAGGTGTGAGAATTCTGTTAACAGCAGACACTTTGGAACAAGTTTGGCCCCCAGGCATGGACACTCACTCGGTCCTCCTGCCAGTCAACTGGACTTGTCCCCTTAGTTTCTTCCCCTTAAACTTTAAAAGCAATCCTTCCTCACACAAGAGAGGAAACACTAATGGGCAATAAGCATATTTAAAGGTGCTTGGTACCAGGAGTCATGAGAATACAAAAATTAAAACCACAGTATGACATCAGAGAGCAGTCAAGCAGTCAATCAATAATCAGGGCTGTGGTTGCTTCTGGTGGGGTGGGGGCGGGGACAACTGAGGGACTTGTGGGAACTTCTCATGATATTCAATGCGCTACATCTTGACAGCGTTTGGGCGGCATAGGGGTATGCATTTGTCAAAATTCAGCAAAAGACCCTTAAAATACATGCATTTGACTGCACATAAATGACATGGGTTGAGCATCTCTAATAGGAAAATCCAAAATGTTCCAATGCCTGAAACTTTCTGAGGGCCAACGATGCCACAAATGGAAAATTCTACTGCATGACACTTTGATTCATGCACGAACTTATTTAAAATATCATCCCTTATGTGGGAGACTGAGGCAAGAAGATGTGAATTCCAGACCAATCTGGACAAGTTAGCAAGACCCTATCTCAAAATAAAAATCAAAATAGGGCCAGGGATGAAGCTCATTGGTAGAGCGCTTGCCTAGCATGTGCAAGGCCCTGGGTTCACTCTCTAGCCCTGCAAAAAGTTTTTAAAACTACACTGGCACAGTGGTGCATGCCTGTAATCCCAGCAATTTGGGAGGCTGAGGCAGGTGGATCATGCATTCAAAGTCAGCCTCAGCAAAAGCGAGGCGCTAAGCAATTCAGTGAGACCCTGTCTCTAAATAAAATAAAAAATAGGGCTGGGGATGTGGCTCAGTGGTCGAGTGCCCCTGAGTTCAATCCTTGTTACCACCCCCCCCCAATTTTTTTTTAATATATAATATCATCTAACATTACCTACAGACTATGTCTATGAGGTGTATATGGAACATAACTGAATGTTATGTTTAGACTTGGGCTCCATCCCTAAGATATGTCATACATGTATTTGCAAAAAAAAAAATAAAATTACAAAATCCAGAAAAATGTGAAATCCAAAAACACTTCTAGTCCCATGCATTTCAGATAAGAGATACTGAACCTGCATTATCAAAGGAGAAAAAATAACTACACATATTGCCCATTAGTTAACGCTCTATATGCTGAAGTGTTTGGGGTGAAGGTTACTACTGCTCTCAGCTTAGTTTGAATTGCTTTTAAAAAATAAGATGGCTGGCTAGAGACAGGTACATGATAAAGCAAGAATAATAAAAGGTTCACCGCAGGGTCTAGATGGTGGGTATATAAATGTACTATAAAACATCCCTTTCTGTAGTTTTCCATTTTTTCACACTAAAATGCTGAAAATTTTAATTAAAAAGGTAAAGATAAAAAAAAAAAGCTGCACACATACACACAACTTGTGAGACCACGACACACTCACCCAAATGACTCCAATGAATAAAGACCAACGACACCTCACCCAGACAAGGAACGACAGAACTCAGTTGATGATGGGAGTGGAACACTGCCTGGTAGAATTTTCCAGAGCTGAACACATGATATACCTACCCTGACTCCGCATCCCAGGCCTTGGTGTAAATCACTCAGGACAGACAAGAGATCCTGTCCACCAAAAAAAATACGTACCAGAGTGTCCAAAGTAGCACTGTCCATAATGGTGTGAATCCACCCAAGAGCAGGAAAAATAATTGGGGCAGACTCAATCATATGGGGACAGGTTACCTGTAGATCAATGAGAGTGAAGTATTGCCACACACAATAGGAGCAGTGAGCGAATCTCTGATTCCCCCCATTGCTACCACCAAAAAAACCAGTTAAATCAAAAACCTCCTCTGTGCTCTGTTTGCATAAAATTTAAAAAATGAGCAAAATTAATATGTGGGAGAAAAGTCAAGATTGTGGGCATCTTTGAGGTGGGAACTGGCTGGAAGAGGCTTCAGGGTGTGGATGCTCATGACATGAGGGAAGTTTGTGGAAATGTCCCCAAGTCCATATTTATGACGTGAGCACTTTTCTATTATGCAGGTTGTACTGCAATTTAAACGTTAGGTAAAAATGGTTTTGTATCTTCCAGAGATGTGCAGAGATCTGGAGTTTGGAGGGAAATCTAATTTTTTTCTTTGATTTTTATACCTTTTCTGACAGCCCATTTGAAACACAGATATTGAGTCAATCTGCGGATTGTATAGAATTGAAAGTGACTTCAGAGACCACCTGACTTAAGTCCCTTACTTTAAGGATGTTCAGAGCTGGGACTTCGAAAGGTTAAGAGATTTGCCCAAGTTACCCGCTATCGGGGCGAGGGCATCCTAGGTCCTATGAATCTCAATCCTCATCTGACACTCTGCAATCTCACTGTGACAACAAGGGCTCCTCACGGCCACCTGCTGAGTCACATCACAGGTTCACAGCAAGGAGCTTCCCTCTATCACATGGAAAGTTTGTGATATAATTGTTTTAGATGGGGCACAGTAGGTTGTAAGCCACAGAACTCTAAACCAAATTGTTTCAGACACACAAAAAATGAAGAGTTGGCATTATCTATTGGCTCATGAATCTTGGAAGTCCGAGGTTCAAGAGTGCATGGTCTTCAGGTATTAATGGATCCAGGTGATCCAATGATATTACCTTAGCTGTTTTATTCTTCTTTCTCCTTCTCTCTCTCTCTCTCTCTCTTTTCCCTAGTTTCATTCTCTGGTGCTCCCCCGACACTAGCAAACATAGACATGGCGCTCCAAGTTTATAATCTTTCCAGCTTTAACAGCTCAGAGGAGAAAAAGCACCTCTTCCCCAAATTGCACAGCAAAAAAAGTCCTGGGAATGGGATATAGGAGGAGCTCACTGAAAGAGCTTGGGTCACATGTCCGCTCCTGGTACACTGTGGCAATGGTATTCAAGTCAAGCGTGGGTCCAACCAAACCCAAACCATTCAATTAAACCCAACCATTCATTTTCTGTGAATCCACTGCTTCTTTGGTTTCCCAAAGAGAAACTGAGGTTTTATTACTAGTATAGGGAGAACAAGAGACAACAGATACTGTCATGAGACGGTAGGTGTCCTCTTGTCCTCTAATTTGGGCATTAGAATAGAATTCTACTGTGTCAAATGGGGGGAAAAAAAGTTCACAGTCTTTGAACTTGAACTTCCTGCAGGCTCACGTTCCCACACATTTCAGCTGACGGCTCCACAGTTAATCTCCCAGATCTCAGTTGTTCCACTCTGTCATTAAGTATTACATTGAATCAAACATGCCCTCCATCCTAGCCAAAAACTCCCAATGACAGATGACAAAGCCAAACACAAATGTCAATTTTCCAATCAGCCTTGTAAAAGCTCCTTCCTAGCATTACGGCAGAACCGCACTGGGCGCCCCCTCGGGAGGCAGGTATCTCCAAGGATCATGCTGGGTCCCTCAGGTGAGGCACTGAGGCCACTGACTTGGCTTGGGACCATCCCGCTTTGGCAGCCGGGCTGAGGAAGCAGGAGATGCCCAGTGTTAGAAACACAAAGCTCAGCTCAGGGGGCGGAAATCAAGCTGACTCCTCGCTCTCTCTAGGAGGGTGCTGCATATTTTATGAATGGTGTGAACTGCCCCTGGCTATCATTTCCAAATTTATTTAAAGAATTTAGCTCATCCTTCAGTTTTCTAGGGTCTCTCTCCCACTCAGCCCCGATAAATGGTTTTGTAATTTTTTTTTTCCAGTACTGGGAATTGATTCCAGGACCTCCTCACCTGTGTTCTGCAAGCACTCTACCACTGAGCGACATCCCAAGCCCTGGTATTTTTAAATAAAAAGGGGGAAAAAATCAAGGAATTGTAAAGAATCCAGTTTGCTTGGTGAATCTTTTTTTTTTTTTTAAAGTTCATCTTTTCAATTCATTTTCCATTGTCAAGTTGCTTTTCCAGAGTTGATTAAAAAAAAAAAATCCCTGATTAATCCATTCTTCTTTGAATCTATATTTGTTTAAAGCATAAATCAGTTGCCTGCTAAAAATGTTTTAGAATGCTGAGCAAAACAAGCTCATCACAAAAGAGCAAAAGAGCAAATATTATAGGATTCCTTGGACAGGGGATGGCTGGAGCAGTTTATCACCGAGACCAAGGGTACACAGTCAGGGGCTGGGACATGGACAACTGGGACTTACTCTTCAGTGGGTAGAGCTTTTTCCATTTTGCAAGATGAAAAAATGTTCTTAACATGGATGGTGGTAATGGTTGCGCAACGGCTTAAGGTACTTAATGAAACTGAACTGTGCATTTAGAAATGGTAAGATGGCAAATTTTCTGTTCTGGGTGTTTAAAACAATAATATATAATAATAATTCTATGGTTTAAAATAATAATAAATGGGCAAAGACAAATTTTTCCAAGAGAAACATAAATTAGAATAAGGTTTAAAGAAAATAAAAACATCTAGGTATAAAAAATGCTTCAGAAAAAGGAGCTGGAGTTGTAGCTCAGTGATAAAGTGCTTGCAAGGCACTGGGTTCGATTGTCAGCACCACCTATAAGTAAATACAAGAAAGGTCCATCAACAACTAAAAAAAAAATTTTTTAAATGCTTTGGAAAGGAATATAAAGTTGAAAGAAACAAAAATATCTTACACGTTTTTATTATTACCTGTGCTCTATTATCTGTATCAAGAGCCTCAGTCTCACCTGGTATATTAGTTAGCTCTTTCTCACTGTGATCAAAATATTGGACAGGATAATTGAAGAGGAGGAAAAGTTTTAGCTATGGTTCCAGAGGTTTAGTCCAAGGTTGGGCAAGTCCAATGCTCTGGGCCCAGGTGAGGCAGAACATCATGGCAGAAGGGTGTGGTGAAGAAGCCCTGCTTCATTCATGGAAGGAGAGAGCAAGGAGAGACAAAGGGGTCCCAGGGAAGATGCACCCTTCCAGGGCATGATACCAGTGATCTACCGCTCCAGCCGCACCCCACCTGCCTACAGTTAACACCCAGTCAGTCCACTGGGACTAGCACAGACTGATGAGGTTGCAACTCTCACGATTCAGTTGTTTGACCTCAGAACATTCCTGAACTAACACAAGGAACTTCCAAAGGACACCGCCTATCCAAACTATAACGCTTGGGTCCTTCCGCCTCAGCTCAGGGACAGGGCTGTGCTCTGAATGCCAGCAAGCCCCTGACTCCCAGACACCCCTCCTCCCCACAAGCCACTGCCTTTGCCCACGTGGGTGAGCAACACTGAAGTTGAGGTTTGCATGGAGTCACACAGACCTGGGACACCACTTTCTGCTGGCTGACCTTAGGGCCATGACTCCTAATGTCAAATGCGCAAATTCAAGCCCCGCCCGCAGGATGTGGATTAAAGTAGAGAATACAGATCAGGGCACTCATGTAGCACAGGTAAAGGGGCTCGCTTTGGGCATGACTGTTGCCATTAACAACGGCCTGAGCTGCTGGGATGCTTTCTCAGCTGCTCCCCTGTGGATGCTCACTGCAGTCACCTGGAGGGCTTCACTGGTGTGACCTCATTGGCCTGGGCATGGCCTGGGCATCCCTATGCCCTTGCAATTCCCAACATGCAGCCAAGACTAGAAAGATGGCCTCTATTGTTGTTTTTCTTGGGGAAAAAATAATAACTGCCTAAGAAAGACTTAAACTCATTTTGCCCTAGAGATGCACTACTGATTCATCTTGCTGCTACTAAAACAGAAAAGGAGCCAAGTATGTGCTGAGCCAGCTGTCCCCATCCCCCTGGGAGCCAGCAGAGCCTTGGTCCCTGCCCACTGACGAATTCCTGTAGTATCACTTGGTACCCTAATCCATCTCCACCTTCTCTTCTCTCCTCAGCAATGTTTTTTAATGCATTCGTTCTACAGATTGACCGGCAGGTAGGCAAGCACTATCCAAAGGTTGAAAACGACAGGATTTTTGCCACCGGTGTCTTTGCAAGGTCAGACCTTCCTTTTCTCTCTGGACACAGAAATGTGCCCCCAAAGCAAATGCATGCAAAGGATCTGTTACTCATATCTTTTTTTTTTTGGAATATTTATTTTTTAGGTTTAAGTGGACACAATATCTTTATTTTACATTTATGTGGTGCTGAGGATGGAACCCAGTGCCTCATGCATGCTAGGCAAGCGCTTTGCCACTGAGCCACAAACTCAGCCCCTGTTACTCACATCTTCATACAGCACTTAACCCTTCTGCACACACCCCCAAATCCAGATCCCTTACTTTAGCTCCCACGGGGGGTGATAGGCTGAGCCTCCTCTGGGGGAACAGCCAAAGGCCCTCAGATCTGGGAACTGGACATTCGGGCGGGCTGGTTCAGTTGGCGCAGGTTGCACCACTCACATGGCCTTGCTCTGACCTGAGACACCCCACCAGTACTCAGGAAGGTGATTCTGTCTTTGGCCAGCCTCAGAGACCTTAGAGCAAACAGCACCCTGGGCTACCAGCAATTTCCATGAGTGGGATCCTATGGTTGCTCTTTCATGTCACCCACAGGGAGAACTCAAATTTTACAAACACAGCCAGGAGCAGGGGTGCACACCTGTAATCCCAGCAGTTTGGGAGGCTGAGGCAGGAGGATCACAAGTTCGAAGCCAGCTTTGGCTATTAAACAAAAAGGGCTGGGGCTGTATATCAGTGATAGAGTGCCCCTGAGTGCCCTCTCAATCCTTAGTACCACACACACAAAAAAAATTATAAATAAGAGACAGAGTTTATAGAAACTAAATTAAAGAAATACCTCATCTCTGTCTCTAATTCCCTCCCTTTTACTTTTGAAGAAAGTGTTTACCGATGCTTCTCTTTTATAGTGCATTATGTTTTTCTGATTATGACATTCAGACATGGAATTTGAAGGACACTGGGGAGGAGGACTAACCAGAGAAATCCCCCAAAAGGAATCACATAGTCCCACGAACCCTGACCCAGTAAGAGCTTCCAGGAGCATTTCATGAATCTTCTTCCAGAATCTCTCTTATATGCTCACATGTACGCACACGCGCGCGCGCACACACACACACACACACACACACACACACACTTCTTCCCCATCCAGCTGGAATTTTATTGTTCATAGTATTTTGAAGTCTTTAGTAATATATTATGAACTTTTTGTTTTTATGGCACAAGGGTTCAAACCCATAGCCTCATATATGCTAGGCAAGCCCTCTATCACTAAGCTATAACCCCAGCCCTGAACTAAGGGGTTTTTTTGGTTCTGTTTTTATTTTAAGAAAATTTTTGCCTATCTTGCTTAGTCAGAGAAAATACAAGATAATAAAAACCATTTCAGGCACTGTAATGGTTGAGAAATAAGGAACTCTAAACTGCATGGAAATGATTGGCATATCGATAAAGCCAGAACCCAGTCTGTGAGCCAGGCCCTGGGACCACCCCCAGGCACATCCAGCCACAGATCTGAGGGATCCCCTAAAGTCCCTCTCTCGCTTGCCATCTCACGTTCTCGGGGATGAAGACTCTGATCCAGATCTCATTTTGCCACTACCTGCACTGTGTGGCCTTATACAAGTGACTTTCAGCTCATTAAAATTCCGTTTTCTTAAAGCTAGAGTAGCCTGTGGAAAAAAACGTCAATTTCCTGTGGCTGTCAGAGAGACAAAGGGGACAATGTGCTGGGGCAGGTGGTTCCAGAGCCTTACACCAGATGGGCATGCAGCCTATCCAGAGGACCCTTGGCCCTACAACCAGGATGTCCTCTGCTACCCTCGAGAGCCATCAAACATGGGCACTGCACAAAAAAAACACTACGGTATTTTTAATAGCAAAGAGAAGAAGGAAAAAATTAGAAATACTCTAAATATCTATCAGTGATGGAAACATAAAATATACTGAAGGGCCAGGAGGGGAGCTCCGAGGTATGCTCAGTATATGCAAGGTCCCGGGTTTCATCCCCAGAACCCCCCAAAAATAAGCTACGCTGCATCCATACTATAGGACACCCCACTGCCTTAGTAAGGAATCACTAATGTATACGCGCTAATAGGAACACATCTTCAAGATATATTACTGAGTCGGGGAAACAAAGAAGAAAAAAAAATTTATCGTTATTTATTGAACCGAAGAGCCAAGTCCACAAATCATCAGGGTATATTTCCCCAAGAGACAGGGAAGGCAGTTAAAAGGGAGTTTAGAATAATTTTGGATTTCTCAACCTATTTTTCTCATTATCGCCTTCTCTGAGGAGCCTTGTGAGATATTTCTTTCCTAATCGCTCCCCCTCTATCATGAAAGTTTAATACCACAGACGTGCAATATATCTGTTCAGATACTGTGGCCCATTGGAGAGCTATAAAGCACTCTAAGACCTAAGGTGTTTTTTTGCCAGCCAAGAACCAATTCCCTCCCCGTTTCGGGGTGAGGAGGCATGATCTAAGTCATATATTACTTGTGTGATTAAAAATTAATAATTAAGAGAAATGCAATGCACATCGACATTCGGTGCCTGTGAACCCTAGGGACGCTCTCTCCTTCCCTAAAACTAGTCGTGGGCTGAGCCAGCCAGGGAGCCTTGGGTAGGATTAAGGGAAATGCACACAGAGACATCAGTCATGCTAGCTGAGGTCCATGGTGCGCACCTGTCATTCCAGCAACTCGGGAGGCTGAAGCAGGAGGATCGTGAGTTTGAGGCCCAGCCTTAGCAACTTAGAAAGACCCTCAACAATTTAGCAAGACCCTGTCTCAAGATAAAAATAAAAAGGAGTGAGGGATGGAGCTCAGTGGTAGAGAGCTTGCCCAGCATTGTGTAGGGCCTGGATTCCCTTCCCAGCACCAGACACACACACACACACACACACACACACACACGATGCTGATGACATCAAGAAATTGCATTATCCTGTGCCTGTGATCTGGTCTCAGATGTTCTTTGGGATGTGCTTGCATCTTCCCTTCCTTGAGAGCTACTGGTGGAGTTGGTGTCCTGGTGAGACCGTCTGCTCTCCTGATTTTTTCCTGCTCTCTTTCCTTTGCAGTTGGTTGGTTCTTTCCTCCTCCCTCCCCATCCACACTGTTGCCTGGGGGTGCTTCCAGGCTCCGTCCTCTGGGCCTCTTCTCTAACCACCCCCGTCTCTGGGTGATCTCATCCAATATGGTGGATTGAAGACCACCCACACCAGAGCGACTTCAGTTTCTCTCTCGGGCTCGAGAATCATCTTTCCAAATGGTTTATCTTAACGATCACACTCCTTTGGCACACAGAGAGCCTCTCAATCTGAACCTGTCCCAAAGAAGCGTGAGCTTCTCCCCAAACGCGTTGTTTCCGGTCCTCACCTTCTTGTAGATGACCAGCTCCTTCCTTGCAGTTGCTGGGACCAGCACCCTTGGACCTTCTTTAAGTTCTCTTTCAAACCTGACCCATCCAGATCCCACTGGTCCCATCTTCAAGATGTATTCAACATCCAAGTGTGTCCCCTAGTCAACAGCTGGTACCCCCATCCCACACATTTACTCCCTCATATCTCCCAGGGCCTTATTCAAATGTCCTCTCCTAATGAGACTTTCTCTGTCCATCCCACTTAAACTCACCCACTTTCTAAGTCACCATGCACTTTGCTTGAGTTTTCCTGGCTTGTTGCCTCCCATGGAACACTGGGAAGGCAACGGCAGGGATGTCTGTGGTCTTCTTCACTATTCTCTCGAGCTCCCCATAATATACCCTGCACATAGTAATAGCTCAGTGAACACTGATTTCACGAATGAACCCCTTATCATGTCAATGCAAAGAAAAACATAGGTTCCTCTTAGCCTTATATGTTATGCCTAGCTGCTCTGTCACCTTGGGGGAGGTCTCTGAGCTTCTGAGACCTTCCAGTCACAGATCCATGACAACTCAAAGGCCACTGAGCCCTCTCTAGGGCTGGGCTGGCAAGTGCCCCTGATGGTCAACTGTTTGCAAAACTCAGCAATCTGCCGATGGCCCTGCTTCTGTCTCTTCACCTGAGTCACAAGGAAGCCAGGATCTATCAGAGGTCCACTCATGGAAAACCCTAAAACTTCCTTCATCTCTTAAACCAGAATCTTTTCCTCTTCCAGTTTGGAAAAAACCCAGAGGTGTTCAAAGCGAACATCTTGACCCAATTTCCTCCGGGCACGCTCTCCCCGGGATTCCTCCCTCCAGCACACCAGCTCCCCTGCCAGATCACGGAGGAGCCAGACTTCTCAGGAACCTGGTCCAATGCAGAACTCCAACAGCGAGCCCGGAACCCAACCCCAGGCTGCACCATCCTGCACATCTGGCTCCGTGCCTGTCACCCAGAGTCAGCCACAACAGTTCCTCACAGCAGATCCTCCGGGAGCAAATGAGGAACGCACCAATTGAGCAGGAAACCGGCTTTCCTTGAAGCGTCTCCAAAGTCTGTCAAGAAAAGAGGAATCTATAGTGCTTGAGTAATGGGAAACAAAGGCCACCTGCAGCTTTCACAGAACTTTTTCCAGACTTGAGAATTCTAAGAGGTTAAGGGGGGAGGTGGGGGGAGTCTCCAAAATGAACCAAGTCCAACTACATAAGGATTCATTTCCCATCTCCTTAAATAAGCACTGCCACATGGTTCTTATCTGCTGTAAAAAAAACAAACAAACAAACAAACAAAAAAACTAGACAGCCCCTGCAAGGGAGGGGGAAGCCACTGAGAACATTGGTTCCAAGCAGTGCTGGAACCTCTCTCTAGCCGGCTGTGCGTCCTGAGCTGGTAATTTAACCTCTCTGAGCCTTAAGTTTCTTCATCTGAGATATGAAATCCACCTTGCGGGCTGTTGAGAAGATTAAATGAGAATCCTATGACCAAGCCCTCTGTCATCATTACTGGATGAAATAAATGAAGTTGCTGTCACCACATACAGTCAAAGCGACTTGTGAACTCAGAAATCCAGGGGGGGCACCCTGAGCAAGCGTGTATGGAGAAATAAAAGTGGCTTGTCATCTTTGCCTTCAAGAGGCTTCACCTTGGGCTGGGGAAGCAGCAGGCACAGGGCTGCAGAAGACAGAACATTCACAAACCAATGTCCAAGAAAAGCACACACCTCTCCATCGGGAGCTCGCCCCTGCGTGTCCCTGTGGGTTTGATTCTGATATCTAAGTATCCATCATTCTGGTGACCTCCTGGGCCACAAAAGGCCTCAATGCTGTCTGTAAACTAAGACCCTAAATCAAACTGGATGGGAAGGCACCATCAGGGCCCTCCTGCACCCTCTTCGGGTCCAGCCACTGCTGGCTTCACCCTGTCACCCACCACCTAGTGTGGCTGACCACTGTCCTCTGCAGCTCATCCTGCCCTTTCGGAGGATGCATCCCATGACACATGTCACCAGGTTCACCTCCAGCCTGGCATTAGCCCAGAATGTTCCACCATGTCCCCAGGCCCGCTGAAGAAAGAGGAAAGGGCAGTTCAAACGCAGTGACTGGCAACAGCAGAGAAGAGGAAGCGGGGAACCAGAAAGGGAGGGGAATCAAAGGGAAAAGGAGGAACAAAAACAGCTCTCCTCTGACATCGGACTTTCCCCGCTTACGTAGGAAGGACTGGACCTCGCACGCTGGGTTGGGCGCCTCGCAGGACCATCTGCAGGGCTGTCAGGAAGGCGCATGCGCACTAGGAAACGCGCGCCAACCGGGCTGCCTGAAATCTCACGGCTGGAGCTGCATGAGGCCGTCTGGCCGCCTTCTCAACTCTCCAGAGCTCCTTCCAGTGACAGCAAGGCAGGCCTTCAACACAAGACAGATGAGGGATAAAAAGAGCATGCAAAGCCGGGTGCCTGGCGCTCGCCTGTAACCCCCAGAGGCTCAGGAGGCTGAGGCAGGAGGATCGGGAGTTCATAGCCAGCCTCAGCAACTTAGTGAGGCCCTAAGCAACTCAGGGAGACTCTGTCTCTAGATAAAATATATATTTTTTAAAGGGCTGGTGGTGTGGCTTGGTGGTTACACACTCCTGGGTTCAATCCCTGGTACAAAAATAAAAACCCAAAAAACTAAGAGCAGTGCACAGTGATACTCAAAGGAGCCAGAACACAGTCACAACCCCAGAATCCAATGGACAGATAACCCAGCGAGGCAGATCCGTGACAATGGGACATCACTCGACCCAACCGTAACAAGAATCAAAGTCCTGATGCCTACTTCTATGTGAGGAACCTTGGAGACATCATATTAAAAGGAAGCCAGATACAAAAGACCAAGATGGTGGGTGACTCCGTTTCTATGGGGAGGCCAGAATAGGCAGATCCACAGAGACAGGAAACAGATCAGTGGCTGCCAATGGCCGAGAAGCAGGCAGAGAGGAGAGTGGGGAGTGACTGCTTCACCGGCTTGGGGTTTATTTGGGGGATGAGGAGAATCTTCTGGAACTGAGTAGTGGTCACGGTGGCAGAGCAGTGAGGATATAACAAATGTCCCTGAATTGTATGCTTTAAAAATGGTGCATGGTATGGTGTGAACGGTGTGTGACTTTCACCTCAATTTTTTTTTTAAAGAGAGAGTGAGAGAGGAAGAGAGAGAGAGAGAGAGAATTTTTAATATTTATTTTTTAGTTTTCAGCAGACACAACATCTTTGTTTGTATGTGGTGCTGAGGGTCAAACCCGGGCTGCACGCATGCCAGGCGAGCGCGCTACCACTTGAGCCACATCCCCAGCCCTCACCTCAATTTTTTAAAAAAAATACGTGTAGATGGGGGGGGGTAGAGAAAATTGGTCCTGGAGGGGGCAGAGAAATTGTGGGGTGGTCACCAATGATTCCCAGGCAAGTCATGAGTTTCCTAAAACCAGGGACCCCGGGGGCGCTTTGAGGTATAAAAGGAGACCCTCTCTCCTCTCAGTGAGAAGGTAACAGCATGACAGCTTCACCCTCATCAGGGGCTATAAAGAAGAACCAGCATCCACAGCCTAAAAAGAAAAATGGGGCAATGGGTACAGAGGCAGCTGGAAGGAGGACCGGCCACCCTCACAGGAGCACTGAGAAAGGCTCAGCATCCACCCACCTGTCCTTGATATGGACTTCGCCACTCATTCCCCAAATACCACTAAGTGCCCAGCTCTAGGTCAGCACTGCCATAGGTGTGAGGGGACGCTGCAGCCATCTGATCCCTGGCCTCATTAAGTGAACCCTTTGGGGACCACAGCGTTCCCACATATTGCCTGGTACGATTTGGTTTTAATAGAATGCGTGGCGCAGTTCACCAAGTGCAAACAAAAACTAATAATGCCACTCTTCCTCTCTGGTTTTTAACACATGTTGATCACATTCAGTGCCTGGAGGGGGATGAGGGAGGTACACGGGACACAGTCAATGGTAAGTCAGTTCTGAGCAGAGACCTGATGTGCAAAACCAGCTGTTTCAATTAAAAAGTCTGCAGGTAAGCCCAGAGTGAGGAATGGTGCAGGCCCTTGTTGCAGACAGAATTCACCCAAAAGGTGTGTTCCCAGTGCCTTTAAGGGACTTCACCTGGGCTGCATGCTGGGGACCCTGTGATGGATATGTGGACATGGCTCTGCCTTCAGGGAGCTTGTGGTCCAAACAGGGAGAAAAATGACAAGGTGAAGACCCGGAATATTAAAAAAAAAAAAATTAAATTAAATTAAAAAAAAAAAAGACCCAGAATATGAGGCCTGTGAGCTAGGAATGGGTGTTAGGAAAAAAAAATTAGGGGTCAACAGAGTAGCCTTGTTTTGTTGCACTTTTTCCAAGTTTTCATCCCAAGCAGAACCACGTACATTAAGTCACCATCCCAAATCCCGATGAAGGGCGGAAATTAGCTAAGGCAGCATCCACCAACTGGGCGGCTCTCATAAGAGAAATGCATTTCTCACAGTTCAGGAAGTCATAAGTCCAAGAACAAGGTGTACTGAGGGCTGATTTCTACTGACACCTCTGATTGGCTTACAGGGGGCTCTCTTCTTCCTGTATCTGTCTTCTTTCTCAGAGTCCTAACTTCTCCTTTTAAGGATGCCAGTCACCCTGGATCAAGAGCTACCCCAATGCTGGGTGCGCGGTGGCACATACCTGTAATCCCAGCAGCTCGGGAGGCTGAGGCAGGAGGATCGCGAGTTCAAAGCCAGCCTCAGCAATGGCAAGGCTCTAAGCAACTCAGTGAGACCCTGTGTATAAATAAAATACAAAATAGGGCTGGGGATATGGTTCAGTGGTTGAAGGTCCCTGAGTTCAGTCTTTGGTACCAAAAAAAAAAAGAGCCATCCTAATACCTGCATTTTAACTCACCTCTCTAAGGGGCCACATCTTCAAAGCACAGTCATGTGTCGGGGTCCTGGGGATTAAGACTTCCACATAAAAATTGGAGGGGACACAGCTCAGTCCCTCACAGGCCCTGAGTGCTCCCAAGGGCTTGGATGCCTCTCACGCCCCTCACTGTGCTGGCTCTGATCACCCACGCCACTCCCCATGGACCACGTGCCTTTTCCCTGAGTCTGGTTGACTCTGACTCATTCTCAGTTGAACCCACCTGGAGCCTTGGAGGGGCTCAACGTAAGGTTGCAGGCAAGGGAGGTGGGAGCTCATTTGAACCAAGCACTTCGACAGCTTTCCCGATCGCCTAGGCAGAGGACAGGGAGGTCTCAGGAAGAGGCCTCAAAAGCAACCAGAGGGATGGGAGGTTAAGCCAAGGTCACCTAAAAGCAGGGTCAGTGGGGGCCATGAGCCCCAGACTCCCTCCACCCCCTGCACAGCCTCTCTTAATGGCACTTGTGCTCACTGTCATCTGGCCCATGAACTTCAAATCAAGTTCACGTCCCCTGCCACCTTAAAGCTCCTTCAGGTCATCCTGAGGGGCAGATCTTCAATCCATTTTGCAAAATCAATGGACCAATGACTATATGTGTGGAGGGGCCAGAGCGTCCTTTAGTTGAACCCAGAGTCCCGGGTACAGTCCCTGCAGCCCCCCACTGAGGAGCAGAGGTGAGGAGTGAGGACTTCCCCCGACATCTCCTGCTCAACTGTCACCCGCACTCCTGGGTCTCCTGGCCTGTGATCAAAGGTCCTCCTCCTCCAGGACCCAGTGGCCTTTCCTTGATGTCCAGTACTCTGAGCTGACCCAGATACTCCCCTTCCAATCTCAGCCTTCCACGACCCTGAGCTTCCACTCACCCCAAGGCCATTCACACCTTTGCAGAGCAAGCCTGATTCAGCCATGAGCCAAAATCAGACGAGGTGTGCCCCATTCTTAAAGGCAAGCTCCCCTCTATCCTTCTTCATTCGCCCGGCCAGTCCATCCACCCAGCCGGCCACCAAATACTTCTTGATCCAGGTGTCCTGGATGCCAGGCACCATAACCCACCTGAGCAGTTACAAAGGTTTACGAAGCACTTTCCTGGCCCAAGGAGCTCGGAGTGTAGTGAGTGGGTCCAATGGTCAAGTAAATGTCACTGCAGTCCAGTGTGGTAGCTGTATTCACCGTGGGAGGCCCTAGGGA